TAGTATGTTTTGGAAATGCTAGTGGCTCTTGTATTAAGCCTTTCTAATTCTTGTTTTTAAAAGTGACTTAAATTAACTCATGCTAACTCAAGTCTGACTGCTGGTACGTTCAATAAAGTGTCTTTTAAACAAGCTATTAAGTGTGTCGTTGAAGAAAAACAGTTTGTGAAAACAAGATGTCTACAGGAAAGAGGCTTTAATTTTCCTCACTGAAAACATTTAGTACAAAAGGTCGGGCTGTACACGGGTTAAATTCATAGTTTGTTAAAATAGTTATTAGTCATAGTCAATAGTCATTTCCTGTCTGACCTCTGTAACTTTAAAACCAAAACCAAGTCCTCACATACAAAACAAATTACATGGACAGAGTGCTTTACATCAGATTTCACATGTATAACCACATGACTTTATAGTGGTGGGACGGCAGTTAGCAGAATCCAAACAATCATAAAAAGTACAATAAATACAAACTGCGGTTGTGTATTGAAAAATACACGTGAAATGAAATATGCAGGAGCACAGAATAAGGAAAAACAAGGAATATAAAAAACAACACTTGTCCCTGATACTATTGAGTTTGTTGATGTTGTGCAAAACAAGTCCTCATTAGTGTTTAATGTTTTCCATACTGAATGCTAGTAGAATGACGACAGTGCTTTGTCTTGTCCAAAAGGAGAAATACAAAGAGACAAGGCTCTCCACTGCTTCATGAGATTTACAGAAAAAAAACCCCGTCTGTCCCTTTAGTGCTTAGTTGGAGGTGGGTCTGGCCTTGGCGCTCGCTGCAGACGGCAGGGTGACGCGTTGCTCATCCATCCGTTTGGCCTGAGAGCGCATGATGAGGCTGAAGAAGTCCTCATCTGGTACGGTGGGCCCTCTGACCGGAGGAGGGGGAGGGGCACAGCGCTGGTCATCCAAACGGGACCCCTGGAAAGACCGCATAAGAGTTGGGATCTGATTATGGAAAGTGCTCAAAACTTTTTTTTTTGTCTAACTGAATATTCGGTTTCACCCAGTACCTGGCACTTGACAAGCATGTCGAAGAAGTCGTCGTCAGGCTCAGCGTTGTCTGCGTTGGCCATCAAGTGGTTGAGCACGGCCTGGTTGCTGTTCTGATGGAGCCTGAGGCCGGGCAGGCTTCCCCCTGCTGCTGGGGACTCGTCTAACCGCCGGCCTTGGACGCCCGTGATGTTGGCAGACTCGGACACAGCTGCAGAGGGAGAGACAAAATAGTTAATATGATGCGTTTTATTTCAGTGTGAAGAAGTTCAGATTTGATGTATGGACTCACATTTCCTGATGGCTCTTGGAGGCTGCTCTGGGCCGCCGTTTAACGATAACCTGCTGCCCTTATCCTGTATGGAACAGCGCTGGTCATCCATACGGTTGCTCTGGAAACGGCTAAGCAGGTCAAAGAAGCCCTCGTCTCCGAGCATGTCAGGACTGAGTCGCTAATAAAGAGGAGAAACAAACATGAAACAGCAGAACAGGCCTTGTGTGATGACAGCTATCTGAGACTGAATGAGGCGTGTGTGTGGTTATCAGCGGTGTTACCTTCTGAGGTCCCTGTGCAGACGTCTGACTGGTGTCCAGCATGTTGCTGGTGTCCTGGAGGACCTTACTGGAGCCGCCGGCCTTGTACTTTTTCCCGCGGAGACGATTGACAAAGAACAGCTTGGAGGTGCTCTTAGCAAATGAGGGTTTGGGCTGCTTGGTCAGGATGTCGCTGTTCCACTTCGGATTCTTCACAAACACAGAAACAGATTATTGAACACAATGATGAGGGAAACATTAGGAGAAGACGATAAAGAAGAATCTGGTTTGTGCTGAATAAAGCTGGAGACTTTTTGGCTTACATTCATCTTGTCTGGAGTCAGTTTCATCAGCTCCAGGTTCTCCATGCTGTGTCTCCTGCTCATCCTGGGTCTCGCTCCTAACGACACATGAAAACTCTTTTACACCTGTTGTTCAAAAGACACTCGTGGTGTCATTACATCATATAGAAAACAAAGGTTTGTGAACAGTTGCTTTTGTTTACCATGCTGGTTGTAGTCTATATCCTTACTCTCTGAGAAGGTGGAGTTATTTGTGCTATAGCTCAGACCCAGAACCATCTGGAGGTCGGACACATTCATACGAGCCGTCAGTTCCCCGCTCCTGTCTCCAGTCTGGACACAAAAAAAAGCTTAGATTTACAACTCTGCAATACCTTTACATGTTTTGGTAGATTTTAAAACATTTCATTCATGAACCTCTTTGCAGATGTCCAGGTGCTTCTCAGCAAAGTGCATGGCCTGATCATGGTTCCCCAGTGCAGTGTGAGCATTTCCTAAACTCCAGCATGCACGGCCTTCCCCAATCCTGCAGCAAAACATATTTTAATCCATGTGCAGGGGCATAATAAAGAATTTCTAATCCCTATTGTGAACATGTGTATGTGTACCTGTCGTTGAGGTCCTGGGCTATGATGAGGTGTTTGAGGTGGTAGTCTATGGCTCTCTCATAGTCCTGGAGAAGTGTGTAGGTATTGCCCAGACTGTAACAGGCCTGGGCCTCCACAGCTCGATCTTTCAACTGCCTCGCCAGCTGCAGTGTCCTCCTGACAAACACACACACAAGCTGGGTCAACACACTGCAGAGAGGCCGCAATCATCACCTCCATCTGAGGCTGACTTGTGTGGCGACAACATATTATGTCACACACAGAAAAGTTTCCCTTGTTTTAGACATTGAGACATTGACATTGTTGTTAGGTTTTAAGATTCTTGTGTATGAAAAAAAGAAAAGCTTAATTTATGCTGAGTGGTGTAAAACTCAGTCATCGCACCACACCCAGTATTTATATCTCGATGACAGAGAAAAATAATGAGGTGGCGTGTTTGCTCAGTGAACGGCCTTCACTGCAGATTTTGATAAGACAGATCAAATATGAGCACAGAAATAAAATAAAAACTATTAACAGTGCACAGCTTTATATCTGTCTAGAAACATGTTTTTTAATTTTGAAAAATGCAAACACTCGTGGGGTCTATGTCCTTTATAAGATTCATGTGTGGCTTACTTGTAATGCTCGGCTGCCACTTCAAATTCCCCCAAAAAGATGTAGGCGTTCCCCAGGTTGCAGTAAGCGCGTCTCTCTGCTGAGCGGTCACCAAATTCTTTCGCTATGAGCAAGCGCTGAAATAGAATCATAATTTATTGTTTTTCTTAATTGAGTTCATTCATCTTCATCTTCTAATTCAAACACACATATTTGTTTGGATTTTAAAAAAAGATTGTCAGGGTTCCACACACCTGTTCATGAGAAGCCACAGCTTTGCGAAAGTTTCCCAATAAATAATGTGTGTTGCCGAGGTTCCCATAAGTTCGACCCTGGGCGGCCCGGTCTCCAAGCTCCTTCACTATCGCCAAGTTGGCCCTAAAAATCCACCAACAGTCAAGTTATGATAGCAGGCAATGTATGATTAATATGTACTATATAAAGAAAGATAACTAAGATTAAAAACTCACACACACACTGCGCAACTTACTCGTAGTACTCAGCTGCCTGCCTCAGTGCCGTCATCACCTCCTCTGGGAAATCTCCAGGCTCAGCCCCACTCCAGCAGATACTTTTGCCTTTGGCGTGGTAAACGTTCCCAAAGTTATACAGAGCTCGAGCCTGACCCACCTGACACACATCCAGGAAAAAACAGTCAGCGCTAAAAGGTCAATGTTTTCCAAACTTTCTTGTACACTATGATGTGCTTGAACACACTACTGCCTCACCTTGTCGCTCATGTCTCTTGCTATGTCCAAGTGCCTCTGACAGCAAACTACAGCCTCATCAAACCGCCCCAACACCTTTAATGTGTTGCCAAGGTTACCACTGGCTTTGGCTTCTCCGAGCAGGTCACCGATGGTTCTATACAACGACATATCGTGTTAGTAATAGTATAATAATGATCTGTTTGACGAGATGGAGTGCTGCTGTATGTCTAACCTGGTCAAGGTGAGGTCATGCCGGTGGAACTCCAGGGCTTTGGCGTAGTCATGCAGGTGGAAGTATGCATTGCCCAGTTGGCTGTAGATGGCACTGAGCACCTGCAGGTCCTCTGTGCCCACCTGGATGGCAGCCTCAAAGAAGGAGACACCCGCTCTATAGTCGCCCACTTTACAGAGCCGCTCACCCTCCAACGCCAGCTCCAGGCAGGACACCTCCATCCTACAGCAGACAGAGGCAGAGTCTTGTTTTAACCAGTGGAGAAAAATATTCAATGAGGGGCTCAAATGTGCCAAGAATCCAAACAGTAATGAAGCCAAAGTTGAGGAAGCTTGGGAGAAGCAAATCTTCTGTGGCTGTGACCAGCGGCCAACTGACCGGACCTCTTTCTAAGCAAAGGCTTTTAACCGGGTAATATTGTTTGGCTACTTCCTTCCACATACAGAGAACAATGCCTCCAACTAGAGTTTTTTTGTTATGGTAGATCTCACATCCTTTTGACCTGCCTCAAAATAAAGTGGGTTCCTCCTACAGTCATATGTGGCAGAGAACAGACAGACACATTTCATAATTTCTCTGTTTACTGGTTTATATGTTTGACGACAAGCTATAAAACTGAATGGGTTCTTCCCTGACCAATACCACATCCTTCTAAGTTTCTAACAAGTTTCATGGAACTCCTTTCAGCAAACAAACCAACCAATGAACAAACAGACATATGTGAAAACATTGGCAGAGACAACAATCAGATTATTTTAAAAGTATGAAAATATGGCTTACAAAGTCAATGTTCCCTACTCCTAACAATGAGATTACTAAAAATACATCTGGAGTCAAAAAGATGCAGCAAGTGGCCTCACGTAATAAAACAATGTGAAAACATAGGACATGACTTCTAACACAATTACGACCAAGATTTTTCAGGGTCAGGCGTTTTTAGCCCACATGAAAAGGAGAGTCAGACAATTGCTGGGGGGTTTAGCTTTAAAATGCTGCAGTCAGTAGATTAAGCAGCGTATCTGTGCAGAGCAAAAACTGTGAGTCTGCCAACGCTTGTTTTTCAGGAAGCTGTATTGTTGGAAGGAGATCAGCTTCACACAGTCTTTTCTGTTTGTTTATCTCTAGATTTCCTACGGTACCCAACCCAAGGCTTTGTCTAAAACTTATCAAAAAAGTGACCTAGAAACACTAAAGTATAGAAAAAGGAGCAGGAAAAGCTTACAGTTTATCGTGGTGCTATTAAACTACGAAACACCAAGGAAAGTAGCTTGTCTCATCTATAATTATAAACAAAGGCTAACATGGTCTTCTTAATAGTTGATAAACCTCATGTAATCATCATTCTTAGGCCTTAAATTAGAAAATCCTTTGTTTACTACGACGTTAGCAACATATCATTTAAAACTACACCTGTGGCAAACACCAGCCTACCTGCTTCGTGTCTTACAACAAAAAGAGCACATGGCACAGCTGAGAGGCATCTACTGAGATCTCCACTGGAAAAAAATTCCAGACTGCCGCTCCTTTTCTTTCTCTGGCGCATGGAGAGATTAACTCAACAAAACATCGTAGCTTATACGAAAAGAAGATCTTGTTTGTTGTTCATTTAAGTCGAAAAAAAAATCACCTTCTCTTCCTGTGACAGCAAAACCATCTGACGTCACAGAGATATTTTCGCATCACACGTTGGAAAACCGTCAATGAGACATGTGATGTTGTCATAGTATTAACTCTCAATGCATGGCAGCTGGGAAACTGTTCGATCAGCAGTTTCTCAGTTAATCTGCTTAACTTTCTTTCAGGTTCTCTTCTGACCTGGTCACCTGAGCTTATGGCTGTGGAGTGTGCACCCGACAGATTAAAACGCTGCTAAGGAGATTTATTTGAGGTTTCAGACACAGGCAGACTCTATAGTGATGTGTATAATGGAATAAATTAAATGAGTGCGATGATCCAGCATCTCTTACAACAAAAAAGAAAACAAACATCCTCCCAGCTCCTTTCAAATGAGATGGACACACGTGTGGAGGAAAACCAAGCTGGCAGGGATGAATTTTTCAGGGCTCATTAAATATTGAAGTTGGAGTCGCTCTGTGTTTAGCAGGTCACACCTGCTGCCGGAGCGCTTTACCTGGATATTTGAGGACAGCTGGACAATGCCTTTTTTATTTTTTAGGGAACTCACCGGTCTTAAGTCAACAAACTCACAGAAAGCACCATGAAAAGAAACTCCCATTGCACAATTTTTATATCCACATAATACCATCAACAAGGCAACACCCTCAGTTACTTCACACTGATACATCTTGTGTAATAAGCATTAATATATTCACAATAACAAAGAGCTTTTCTTCTCTTCACCATCAACTACTACATCCCATCTGAAAGTAATGAGGAGGCAAAAATAAAAGGCTGTATCAAGTCACAGTTTCTACTCTACAACTACAGCTTAGTTGAGAGAGGAGAGTCCTACCTGTAGCGGACATGAAGGGACTGCTCTGCAGATTGCGTGCTAACCACTGAACCGCTGGTATCCATTGAAGTGCATAATATGAGGGAAAATCCCAGTTTTGTTCCTGAAAAAATGGTTGCGTTTAAAACAAGGGCCGACGGGAAAGAAAAATAAATCTTTGGTTGAAGGGGAGTTGAGAAAGAGGAGGCGATCCAAGTAAAAAGTCACCCAATGTGATGAAGTACGCTAACGTCCCTCTGCTGCTGAACGTTGAAAGGGAACCGTAACCCCATGAGTGTCAGACAGAGCTGCAGAGTCCTGTTTTGCGTCACTGCACCTCAATCTCTCGTCAGTGGCCCTCTGCAAAGAGAACACAAGATGCTGTATGTGAAGCCTCATTCTGGCCACACAGTGCCATGGCAACACCAACCAAACAGCAGCGTGCACAAGGTGGAGGAGGTGCACAGGCAGGGAGCGAAAGAGCAGGAGCGGGAATGAATGGAGGCAGGGGGGGTTCAACACAGGCAAGCTGTCAATCTAGGACGGTGACTCAATTCATCCAGGATTGAAGACGTGCGTATGTGCTCTAAAGTTGCAACAAGGTGAAAGTGCTAGGTTCGCCTCAGCAAGCAGAGATGCCAAATGATTGGTTGAGAAAGATGTCACTAAATTAAAAGAGTAGCACTGAGCAGAACACACACCTCTCGCAAAAAGAAAAGAGGGCAAACTTATAAACTACTGTGTATGTGACTTCCACCAGAGGAAAGGACAGTGATAAGCAGGCTTCATGGATTCAGATAGACTGCACCAAGTAAAGACCAGAGCCAACCATTACCTCATTTATCCATGAGGTCATACAAGCCACACCCATTTGTCCCCCAACTTTAACTAGTCACACCCTCCCCTCTGCGCACACACACACGCGCACACACACACAGATTATTGGAAATGACCAAACATTAATTATATTCTTTTGCTAAATAGCTACTAAAAGACAATACAGACATAAAACAGTGTGCATATTTAAAAAACCTTTCAGAGACAGAGGGTATCTTTCATTCCTCTGATAGTTCCAGTGTACTATGTCTTGACAGTTGAAACACATGAAAGTTATTGCATTATTATTCTATATATAATAAAACATATGATAAATTATTTTGATGTAACGTTTGGGAATTTGACACTGAAGACAAGCAACACAGGTTTAAAAGTCTGAGAGTATAAAGTTTGTCAAATTATAAAAAACACCCCATATGATAACTAAGGTATATGAGTAGCTATTTCAATGTATCATTAAATAGTTACTAAATGAATGAATTCAGTTCTGCCCAGAAAGTTTGTGGTGTTGCTGACTTGGTAGTTTTTTTATTTTTGACACGTATTAGCTCAGCACTGAGCTCATTCTGCAAGAAGAGCACAAATCTTAAAAACAAACGACGACCAAAAATAGCACCAGAAAACTGTTTTTGACAACAGACGACACTGCCACCATGACTCATTATGTCAGTGTTTCCTTTTAAACTGAGGTTAAGCTGCTTCTCTCAAAGTAAGTGGATATCTGTGCTTGAGAATTAAAGAGGAACTTTGCTGTGGATTAAGCCATTTCTACCATAATCCACAAATTAAAACTAAACAGGCTCTACCAGGTTATGCCTCATACATGTTAAGTAGTTGTGCTTAAACTAATCACTCTCAAAAGAAAAGAAGTATCCTTGCATGAACAGCTAAAGAGTAAATCCCAGAGCTTTAGGAATCTATGCAGTGCATGTTTCTGCTCTATACAATCAGCATTTGATGCCTGCCAGTGTGCGTGCAGCATTTTCCACCATTGTATGCCAATTGGGTGTGTTTCCAATCGACCTGCCCTGCTCACAGAGCTACACTGTGCATGAATACGTTTGTAACATGGAGAAATGATGTGTGCCTACATGCACATAAGAAAATTGTTCTTTTAAATGACAGCACCAAGGGAGGTAATCACTGCACTGAGTCACATACAGGACATGATTTCACCCTGGACACACAGCAGATGTGATCTATTTTTCTGTGCTTACTGATGCACTGAACTGCCTCTAACCTCAAGATCTAAAAATGGAAATGCCACTCGGTAGTACAACACCATGAGCCAGCAAAACCTTGCACCAAAACAAAAGAAACAAACAACTGAAACGAGTAATGGAATACTGACCGGTAATTCTTCCTCACAGGAACAGGAACTCTGGGAAGCCTGCGAGGAGAAGTGTGGTGACAAATGAAAAACATCACACAGAAAATAATCAGGTGTTGGTGTGGTAGTAAAGATATATATACAGCTTCAAGTTTATTATCAGGTACACTAACCTAAAACCCAGTATAGATAATAAAACAGCTGTACCTATTAAATAGGGTTGGGCAATAAAACATTAATTATCACAATATAATTTTCATCAATGGTAAATTTAAAAAAGGTTCACTATGCATTATGTGCAAGCACATTGAATTAATCTACCTCAGGTTTATAAAATGTTTTGTTGTTTATCAAGTGTTTGTCTTTCTATGTTCATAAAGACGAGTTTAAAACCACAACCTTCACTCAGGAGCAGGAATTTAGCCACACTGTCCAGCCCTCGCTATTAAAAGGTATAAGAAACTTCTCCCAGCTGTGATCATAACTATGAACCTACAACTTCATAAACGTTTTATCACTTAAGAAATTATCGAAATACTATTGTATTAGACTGCACTAGTTTTAGTACACAATCACTGTACCTGTCACATACTAAAGGTTGAAGTGAGTGTGATGTGTAAACTATATAACATTGGTACACACATAATGTAGATTTAAATACTTGTGGAATAAATCAAAACAAAAAATGCAGCTTTATCATACAAATACTATGATTTCCTATATTAGGTTTACACAAACTACTTCTATACTGCATGTAATTGTTGTACATGTGGGCATACTGACAGACAGCAGCACCATTGACTTATGCAGACTTCTCTGTCACTATGAGCTCCATTCATACACATGCTCTACTACACTGGTGAGAGGACGCAGGACTCAGTGGAGGAATGTAAACACTTGACCTCCGTGATGAACTGTCAGAGGTTCAGTGAGTGAGTTAATACAAGAGGAGACATTTCTCTAGTCACAGTATCAGCGCCAGCTACAGGTTAGCTAGTTAGCATGTTAGCCGCTAAACTTACGTTAGACGATCCAGTTCGAACAATGGGGGACTTCTCTGTTTTTTGTCTTCACCGTGTCAAAAGAATAACAAACATGGGTCCGTTTAAAAAGAAAAGACGACCGTACTTCGTAAACAATGACAGCAACATCCGCCTACAGCTACATTCTTTTTTAAACTTGAGCTAAAGTTGGTTTGACTTCGCTGAGAAAGAAGTTGAACCTCTCGGCTGAACCAGCGTCTGTGTTTTTTCGAGAAGCAGCCAATCAGAGGAGGACATTCAAAGATAGCCACGCCCTGAAGAACAGCGATTGGACCAATAGATTTGAATAGAAAAAGAGATGACGTATGGTAACATTGTACCTGACAGAGTGGAAGTAAAGCCCCCCCCCCCAACACGATCCACAAACTCAATACAATCTAAAACAAGTTTACCATTCTGTCAACACCAGATCTGTTTATCAATGAGCTCGAATACACTGATTAAAAGACACTTTGCAACAAACTGTGCAGACGTTTGTATCCAAACCGATTCAACTGAGCACTTGACTTAAGATAAGGGAAATGTGCCTTGTTACATCAGCAAAGGGAAAAGTGACGATAGAAACATCAGTTAAAATATGCAAACACAATAGTATA